ACCTTTATATTTGTTTTTTTGTATGAATGATTCATGAATTTATAAAATATATATATATATATATATATATATATATATATATATATATATATATACATAAATTTCCAAGAGAATAGAATCCAGGTAAAACTCAATGTCCAGGACAGAGTAAGAATATAATATAAAAAGCTCAAACACTAATATTCCATGGTTATAATTTATTACATTGGAATCATAATCACAATCCAATTCATCAGACCTACAAATTCAAAAAGCCTATATATGTATATATCGACCTTCCTATCTGAAATGCTCCCCTGTGGCTAAATCAATAAAGCACATCAAGCTATATTGTAGTTCCGTGTAGGATACAGATTTGATTTCTGTCAGAGGACACAAATTTTCTATGAAAATTTCTCAGACATTCAGGCTGGTAAATATTGTTAATATTGTTTATTATAAACAGAGCATTTACTTAAATATTAGTATCTATAAAAAGAACGTATAAACATATATATGCATATATGTATGTATATGCAGATACATAGTGAAATAGGCTCTATTATTCAACACCAAAAATATCGTAATTGTTTGCTGTGTAAAATGCAATATTTAAATTCTGGTCGAGGCAATGTATTCCCTTCATACTTGGGAAAAACTGCATGCTTCCACGCTCTCCCCCACCTACATTTTCTCCCATTACTAGACATCTTGACAATGGGCTTGTCAATGGCCTACTATCATGCTTGATAGAAAAAGAGTGCAGTTAGGTCAAAGTTACTTCTTTGCAACTGATATGATGTAACTGAGTGTGACTTTTTCCATTTTTATTTGAAGCGGAGATGAGCATTTTTAAGTAATTTGCTCTAGAGATATCAAAAAGAACGCAGCATATCACTGTGAGAATTTACTAAACCAAATAATCCAGTTTGAAAATATTCTTTTTTCTTTTATTTTTATATAATCTCAGAACCAGTGAGATGCAGAACGTGGAGATTATGTTTATATATGAAGAATTTCAAATAATTTGAGTCAAACAAACATGTGGTTGCATATTGGGCAAAAAATAGACTAAACTAAAATACAAATGATTTCTTAGCAGCAAGAATAATTAGTTTAGAACTTTTATAATTTTTTGAAATAGAGGCTTAACCAGGAAATGAAATTTTAACAACTTACATATGCTGAGTTCACAATACCAGAGGCTTTTTTAAAAAAATATTTCAGATAAAATAAAATAAGCACATAGAAACTGTTGAATATTTTCATATTCTTTCATTATTTTTTTTTATCAGGAAGTTGTGGTTTATGTTTGTGTTTTGACACTTTAAAGAAATACTATTTTTTTGAAGATGAGAAATATTTACAATTTGCTCAAGGAGGAGCAACTAAGTAGTAATTCTAATTTTTAAATGAATTCCTGAATTCTTGTCTCAATATTAGATTATTTCATATTTTCCATTGCCTGGTTTGGGAAAAAATTATATATTAATTTAGATAATTTAATCTAGTTTGTTTAATGAAAAATAAATAATGGATTTTATTTATGAATCCAACATGTTTAAAGTAATAAAACTATGTTGGATTAATAAATAAAATCCATTATTTTTTCAAAAATTACTTTTTTGCATTTTTGATATGAAACCAAGCAGTTAGGACTTTTGAAAATCTAAATGAGTAAAATGCGCTTCAAAGGTAAAATAGAACATTGCTTAATTGCGACTATTAAAGCATGTTAGCCCTAACAATGGTTTCTCCTGTAAAAGAGGGATGCAGGTTTGAATCCTGCTAGAGGCTACATTTTCTTTAATAAGATTTCTTAATGTTCATGTCAACAGACAAAATATAATACTGTTTAAAATAAACAGAACATCTACTCAAATATGGGTATCTACTGAAAATAATATTTAAAGTAATAAAGATATGTTGGATTAATAATTAAAATCCATTATTACTTCAACCAACTGGACTACAGCATTGATAATATCAGATGTGTGCTTTTAGCATCTTCATTTAAGAGCCAAAAGGAAAGACTTAAATCAGAGTTAAAATCATTTTCAGAACAGAATCAGATATTAAAGGATTAAACAGAAAATACAGTTTCCACAGAGAGCCTTCTACAAATCCTCCATAATCCTAATTGTGGCAAACTATTAGGCCAAAATCAAATTTCTTACAGTAATGCAACATATGAAGAAAAAAAAACAACAAAATTACCCAGAAGAGTGAGTCCCACTTCACTTATTTCTCATCTTGTTGAAAAAGGACACAGGTGTGTCCAAAAATTCTGACTTTAAAATCTTTCTCGCCATGCTTTGGTTTAGTCAAAAGGCCTAATTATCATCAGTCTTAGTGATAATATTTTTTCATTTTTTTGTCTCTTTGTTCCTCAAATTTCATTAAACGGCCTATTAAATCCACATATTATAAGAATATTAAATCCACATATTATAAGAATATTAAATCCACATATTATAAGAATATTAAATCCACATATTATAAGAATATTAAATTCACATATTATAAGAATATTAAATCCACATATTATAAGAATATTAAATTCACATATTATAAGAATATTAAATCCACATATTATAAGAATATTAAATCCACATATTATAAGAAGCACACATGGACCATCTTTTCTTTTAATTATATATATACATATATATATATATATATATATATATATATATTATTAATCTAACAGATTTTATTGCTTAGACGTTATCTTTAGTGGATACCCATATTTGAGTAGATGTTCATTTTTTTTTAAACAGTATTATATTTCAATTACTGGCCTGACCATTCGGATTAATAAATATAATAGAATAATATATTCCTTTCCCACTCAAAGTGAACACACCATACTCTGGTTTGAACAATAAAATCAAAGTTGGAGGTAAAAAAAAATGTTAAAAATCCTAAAAGAAATGAGATAATTATGAGATTTTATTAACTGTTTTGAACTTATTTGGTAATAATTTCTTAAAGCTTTTAAAAAAAAAACTTTGTAGAAATATTTTTAGTGCTATCACTGAATTAAAATATACATGTGCACATGCAGTCATACACACACTATCTGAATGAAATTGAAATGAACATTTGTGTTTCAATGGCTAATTTTCTTTCCTATCTGGCAGCAGTCCATTGATAATAGGAAAAGCATATAAACTGAAATGTATACCCAACTCCCACTAGCACAGGGCTTCCAAACCTGTTTTGTGCCATTGCCCACTTTCACATGGAAAAATTTTCCATCACCCACTTGTATAGTAAACATTCAAAAGCATCCTAAATTTGTTTGGTAAAAGTTTGTTACTGGTTCATAAACTGACTTTATGATATAGCAAAAAATACCAAAGGGAGGTAACAAATAATTAGAAACTGCTGCTTCTAATGCTGTATTAAAAAACAAATGAAAGCAAACTTGACCATTGAAAACTATTTAGTTTTATTGTAAAGGTTAGCATTTCAAGTGTTGACAAAAATTAAATGATTTTTGTTCATAATTATAAAATTAAAAATAATGTACATTACTAGCAACTAATAAAACTTCTACAAATATTTTTTGTTATTCTTGGTCTTCCCTTATCTGATTTATATCTGAAAAAAATATTTTATTTCATCTGAAGAACTATCTGAATATTAATGACCCTTTTTAGAACTATAGAAAATAAAAAAAAATATTCATTGTTTGCAAAGAAATTTATATTTTCTCTTGGAATATAACCCAATTATTCCCATTTAAACTCCTGTTTTAATTTATTATTATATAAAAGTTCTTTGCATATTTCATTTAAATATTCTTTTTGGGTAGCATATGTTAAAATACCTTTTTAATACTCAAAATCCTACATCACCCACTGGAATTTCCAATCAACCATCAGTTCAGTTGCTCATCATCCACCCAACAGTTGTAATCACCCACCAAGGGGTGATATTGCTCAGGCTGGGAAACACTGTTTCAGTGAAATCATTTTTATGACTCCTGTATTTAAGTTGAATGTATTTTCTAATAAATGTAGTATTTGAAATGGATAAAAAAATTGAATTTAAAATTTGATCATTTTGTCATCAGTAGTAGGTACTGAACTAGTTCATTATTAGAAGTTAAAAAACATTAATACCTGATTTCAATAATGACATTATGTAATTAGTATTTTGGGGTCTCATTTCTTGAAAATCCCTTGTATGAATCATATAAACATATTTACATCTTCTAATACAGGTTGAGTATTCTTTATTCGAAGTTTCCAAATCCAAAAATTTTGGGGGGTACTGATATCACTTGTCACAAATAGAAAATTTCAGAAAGCACTAGGAAGGTTCCTAAATGATATACAGCTGTTGTAAGTGACCCTTATCTGCCTGGGTGGAGGTTTCCTAGCCCAGCTATGTAGCTTATGTTTACGCCAGTTTTTTGTTAGTGATCATCATAGCAACATCTTCATTTGTGGATTGTTTCAAGCCCAGTAAAGATATTATTCAAAATGCCAAAAAAAATCCTGCATTTATATATTTTTTGTAAGTAGTAATGTGATTTTGTACACGTATAGAAAGTACAAAACATTATTTTTACATTAAATCTTAATTTCACCACTTAAAAATCTGTGTGAGCATTAAATGACTAGAGGCATTAATTGTATCTATATATACACAAAATTTATTAAATTTTATATAAAACTACCTACAGAATATGTCCTTTATATAAAACTACCTTCAGGGTATATGTATAAGCTGTGTTCTGAAATGTAAAGGGATATTGTGTTTATGCTTGGGGTCCATTCCCAAGTTGCTATATACAAATTAAATAGCCTGTATTCCAAAATCTGAAAATATCTGAAAACTGAAGCACTTCTACTCCCAAGAAATTTCGATAAAGGATTCACAACCTGTATCACAATCGATTCTATAAAATCTATTTTAGTTTTTAAATGTAGATTTCTTGTTTACTTTCTGCAACCTTTTATTGTGATACATCTTCAAAACCTTAACAAAACCAAACAGTGTTTGCTTACTTTCGGTGAACCTTACTTTCTCAGTCTCATTAATGACTTTTCCATCTATTTCTGTCTTCAGTTGAAGTTTTAGGCAAGTTCTTTGGGAAGTGAATGAGTGAACCAAAATGATTTCTGTTTCATTGCATCGGAAAACATTGGGAGTCAAGATCCAACTGTCATCACTGGAAGAAAAGAAAAAATAAGAAAAATAATCACTCATCTAATGATTTATAAATGTACAAATCATGACATGCTATGCTTTTAGCTTTCCTTACCCATATAGGATGAAAGCATGCTAAATATGCAAGCTTGTCAGGAGGCAGCTGGACTATCTTTTTTTTTTTATGTGGCATTTACTTCTTTTTTTATGACATACAAACCTTATCACACCTTTAACTAAATACACCCACCAATACACTTAAATAAATAAATCAATACAATTGTATATTTTCATTTTACCACTTTAACAAGCTTTCATTTGTTATTTCTTTATTTGTTTTTATTCCTTGAACACAACATTATCTCTGCTGGTAAGATGTGAGTGACCCCACAGTAATCAATCTTGCAATTATGCAATAAGGCCATAAAACAGCTAATTACTCCATTATGATTTTAGGTCGGAATTTTACTACCATGGGATTATTTGCCAAAACACATAACTTTAAATTTAATCTCAGTAGTGAAATATTTTGTGAATTTTAAGTGCTTAGCTGGTGAATTATCTTAAATTTCAAAGCAATCTCTGTAATCCCAGCTAACAATAAGGACTATTTGACTGAAACTATTGAAATTTCTAATACTTAAATTGCATAGAGATATTTATATTTCTTGACCTTTCAAAGAAAGTACATAAATTTGACTTTAAGTTAATTTCTATTTTCACTCACAATTTATATCATAAAAGAAGAGTCAATTCTCTATCCATTGAACACTGTTTGTAGGTGACTTTGGTTGATTGAGTGATACTTTTTATGGCTTATCAACCCTTTGTAGGTTATTTAAGGAAGAAAATATTTTTAGATTGTAATAATTTTTTTTCAAGATAATAATGATTTAATGATACAATTTTAATAATTAATCCATAGTTGGGATGAAAAGATATTCATACCTTTCCCAAGAGTATTTGCATAATGAACCCAACTGGAATTGGAACTCGGCTCCTTCCCGTTACCAGTGACTTTGTATGCCCCTATGTAATGTATATGCAATGTATATGTGTGTATCTATGCTGTGTGTGAGTGCTTGCGCTATTTAATGTAAACACAAGCTCGCAAACACATATGAACTCACAATGTGACAGAGTTTGAAATAGGACACTGGAATAATACATTTTCCTCCCACTAAGTCTGGACATCTTCTACTATGGGCTGAGTAATAAAATCATGAAGTTGGAGATATGATCATTTTTTAAACTAAAAAAAAATTAAAAAATTGGATAATTGTAAGATAAATAATTCTGTTATTGAATAATTTCCCAAAAGTTTTTATTGAACTTTTAGGAAATGGTCCAATAATAGAATTATTTTTAAAGCATTTTTTAAAATTTTGTAGAAATATTTTTAGGTCTGTCATTGAATGAAAATATACATACATGCAGGCAAATGTATAAAATAAACACAATTTCAATGAAACTGAAATGGACGTTTGTATTTCCAGGGCTAATCTCTCTTTCTATCTGGTAACAATCCAAGGTAAGCTGGCCCTTTGAAGCCATTTTTATGAATACTTTTTTATTTAAATATTTGTATGGAATCCGAATATATTTTCTAAGTTCACCCCAAGCAAGACAGTAAAGCCTTTAAGACACAGGGGATTACTGGGGGTGTTAGAGTAAGAAACAGAAACATTACTAAGGAAATTTTAAATGTTATCTTGTCATCAACCATGTGATAGATACTAGTACTGACAAGAAACATCTGTTTTTTTTTTTTTTTCAAAAGTAGTAAGTACCTTGGAAATCATCATTATTTTTTTTCATCACAATGTAATTGTTAATTACATGATTGTCATTAATAATGAATTAGGCAGAATAACATTTGCAATATCTAATTGCTGTGAAACTGTTGGAGAAATTATATATTCTAATATCCAGTCAATTTACTCAATTTTCCTAAATATTGTAACCTCCAACTTAATTTTCTAATTATCCCACAAAAATGCTATGAAAATAGACTTTAGAAACAGGATGAAAATCATAATTATTAAGGTCAGCAATAAGAAGGATGTTATTTCTTTGTATCAAATCTAATAATTTACTCCATAGCAAATGAAGAGAAAACAAAATACATTGCATGGTATTTATTGTTTTAGGGTAAGTACGTCTACAGAGTCATTAAAAATTAGCATACTATGATGAAAAAAATGCCCCAAACTTAATTAAAAGCAAATTTTTTATTATCAAGAGGAAAGACCAAAGGATTACATGATTATTAAATTATATTTATTGATCATTTTGAGAACATTCAAAATTTTGCTTAAAAATCTTGTTTTTTCTTGCATCAACAGGAGAACCAAAGATTAGTATAGTAAATTTTAATGTCTTTTTTGCAGTGAAAAACAAATTGATTTGATAATTCTTTTAAAAATCAATTGTCAGATTTTAATGGCACTTTCAAGACATATTCACAAATGAATGAAATTATTTTAGAAATGTTTCCTTTTTAGAAAATCTTGGCAAAAATCTGTTTTTTTTTTTTTACATCTGTTACCCCTCACTAATTTAATTTTATAAAATTTCAAGAAATTAATTGTTGTACTGCTTAATGTTTATGATAGTTATACACAGAACTCCTTGGAGAATTTAAATCATCAGTTTTTGTTTTTACCAAAACATTGCTCCAAATCATAAAATAAAAAATGAAAAAATATAAGACATTATTTAATTAGAAAAGATTTGAATTGCTTTTATGAATAAGACATTTTATGGACCACTATTGTCTAAAGAAAAAATTTTTTTGGATGAATAACAAATTTTTACAAGAATTTAAATTTTAATTATAATAATTTATAAAGTTTTAAATATTTTAAAATTCTGTATTAATTTATACCAGTTAAGTGATGTTATTGAATAAAAGCTATATTTACTAATCATAAATGGAAAAGCTTACTACAATTTGGGGATTCCCAATATTTTAAAAAGAATTTTGAAGTTATTTTTGTGTGTATAAACATGCCAATTTTTGTAAATATGAACATCCATACAAAACATTATCAGAAAGTAAGTGCAGTTAACTAGAGTAAATTTAAAGCCAAAGAAGCTAAAATTCAATAAAACATTAGATTACAGAAAGTATTTTTCCTAAATTTTTCTAGATTGTTTGGTAGATAGAAATTATATAAAAGAAGGTGCTCATGTAATTTCATCAAGTTCCCCTCAAAGAAAAAAATAGATAAACTTCTAGCTGTCAATCAAGGTGTTAGCCTGTCAATATCTTCAATAAATAGCTGCTTCTAAATGCATTTCTGTGATATTCTAAACTAAAAGCAAGTAATATTTATTCCAAATAATATTAATTAATCTTTATGTCAACTAATATTCCTCAAATAAATTTTCAGAAAAGTATATTTTATTTTTGAAAGATTTTTTAATAAAGAGAATTACATTGTGCTGACAGATGTTTAAAAATGGCACTAAAATCAGTGTTTTCAAAACAAAAACTCCTTCAGCAAAATATTTTGCTTATTGAAATATTAAATTTAATCTATTGGTTTGAAATTAAAACTAAAATAAAAGCTTCAAGAAAGATTTTTTCCACTTTTTTTATAAATTCATTTTAAACCTTAGGTATCGCTTTTCTTTGGAGATATTCATTTTAGAGACATTAAGTTGTGATGATAGAGAAATTAATAATAATAATAATAATAATAATAGGACCAAAATTTTATCATCTCTAAAAATAGATATTTTGGCCAACCAATTAGAAAGCTTTCACAACCAGGATGTAGGAAAAGAAAGAAATAATAACAATGAGAGCAAAATTTCAAACTTTTCAAAAAAGCAGGTGTAAATTTAAATAATGTGAAAAGTAGACAAATCTTAACTTAAGAAATCTGTTATAGGTTTGCTTGCAATGTTTTTATATGTTCAGTTCTTGCTTCATAGAGTGTATATTAATAATAGTATAAGTCATATTAAACAAGTAAGGTTTAAACTCATAAACACCTAAATAGAGTAATTCTTTAATTCCAAGTGTAAAAGTTAGGCAATTAAAAGAAAAAGTATTTTATTTACATTGAAATTTATAGGAATATTATTAGCAGTTGAAATTATACAGGATTTTTGAAATTTAACTTTGTTAGTTTTAGTTATCATTGGAAATACTAAACTATACTTAAGACTTAAAAATAAAATTAAACCATATAATCGACATATAATAAATGCAACGTGTATTCATCTCTCATATTTTTACTAATGTAAGCCACTCAAAGTAATGAGTTACTGTATGGACTTATATTAGTTTTGGAAAGAACAACCATTAGGATTATAGAGCTGAAGCAGACTTTAAAAGAAACCAGAAACCCAATCCTAAACAGGAAACAAGGAATGTTCCTCTACTCCAGTTCAAAAGACCAGGGAGGAGTGTGAACTGGAAGATGGGTGAACCTATCTACTCGTATTATATATAATTAATATAAGTAAAATGTTTATCACTTAACTGCTTGAAGTTACCTTCATGTTGTGTCGGAAACCTACCACCCCTCTTGAAGATGAACTTGTCTGCGTCTGTGTACAAAGACTTTAAATAGTGGCATGTCAGTTGACATGGAAAAGATAGATAGACAGAGAAGTTCTTAGCTGAGCTAGTTATTGACTACTCAGGTGATTTCTGTACCTTTTTACAAACCTATTAAAACCCTTTTTATTGTTACGTGTTATTTGGCGTTTGTCTCTACTAACCCCAAATCAACATCATAACACTTCAGCATCCCAACTCCAGAGTTTTGAAGACAGACTCTTCGTGATTCACTCTGTCCACTCATCGGGGTATCAGCATTTGACTGGTTATACTTTGATTTTTCTTTCTTATATTCACATTTTTATGTGACTGAAGCAGAGGTCATGAGAGATAACATTACAGATTCTTCTGAAACTTTTACCTACATTGATTAGTACTAATTTTGTGAAAACATTGACTCACATAAATAATAAAATCTGATATAATCAACCTAATAACATTGTCTC